TTCAGGTGATGTATCTAATGGGAGCGTTTTTTTTTTTTTTTTTTGCACAGTGGCGCGGGTGGCTTGCGAATCGAATCTTGGTAGGATGCGGCTCAACCTTCCGCGCGGCTCGCCCCCAATGCCTCACGGCGGTTACGCGATCGTCGTCACGGCATCGTACAGCAGAAGTTCCACGAGGGGAAGACTGCGGCATGCGCCATCGACCCATGGCGGGGGGCGGCGGGCAGTAAGAGGGGACAGGGCGGGGAGCAGCGCGGGCGGGGCGCGGACTCAATTTTTTTTTCTTAAGCGTACTGACCCCTCGCGCATCCCGGCCAGCTACAACGGAGCACGGCGCCTGTTCCTGGTATCGGAGGGGGGCTTGGGGTTTGCGGGGCGCGCGGGGGGGGNGGGGGGGGGGGGGGGGGGGGGGGGGGGGGGGGGGGCACTTGCTTCGGCACTTGCTTCGGCGCTTGCTTGAAATGAGCGGGCGGCCTTGTAGAGCCGCCCGCCTCGTAAGGACGAAAGCCGATTAGTTTCTTGTATCATGCATACTTCTGTCCAGTTTTTTTATTTTTTTCAATCTCTACCACCACTATCCAAGTTTCAAAGTTCGCGTTTCGTTGGTTTTGTGTTCTCCCCCGTGGTGCAGGGTAGAGAAGGCCGACGCCACGATCAAGACCTTCTATTCCAACCTTACCCCAAGATTCGGTGAGCAAAGAGTAGACGGAAAGGGAGGCGCGGGGGGGTTCGGAGGAAATGTGACGGTGGTGGCGACAGCCTACGACGGATGACAAATCTGTTCCGAACCGCAACCGGTTGCGCTGTATTTCGGTACCTTTCTTTGTGGAGTATATGAACAACCTACCCGGCATGCACGGTAGGAGGTGGTGAGCTGCTTCCCTTTTGCTCTTCTACCTCTCTTCAAACGTTCTGTGTTAGATGTGGTAAAGCGTAGACCGGGTATACTCGTCTGTCAGTGTTGTTTCCACTACTTTGGACACCCGGCCCCCCTTGCTGCAAGAGAGCAGCTGACGTACTGGCGCCGCAGCAGTGCAGGACCCCTACACCACCCTGCCATCAGGAGGCACTGCGTGACTACTGTAGAGGTCAACGCCCTTTGAAGGGCGTTCGCTGTTGTTGCTCGGCCGCTGACGAGCTATGCGCACGACCCTGTCTTGGCATTTGTTCGTCCGGCGTATTTACGGCTTGCACATGCCGTGTTCCCCGCCGCTGTTCCTCACCTTTGCAGAGGAGATGGACGTCAACACCTGCCGGAAAAACATGTCCAGCGTTAAGGTGAGGCTTCTAGGCAATCTAAACGCAACATGAGAGTTAACACACGAGGTTCACTCTGACGTTGCTTTTTCTCGACAGGGCCAATGACATTTTCTTGTTTCCTGCGTAATTTTACTTTCGGTTTTCTCCGACTTGTGACACCTGCAATGGGTCATGCTTGTGCGCAGGCAGCGGTTTCATGCCTGGGTCCAGTGTGTTTGTTGCCAAGGCTGGAGGCGAGGACTCGAAAAACGTCGCGCACGTGCGTTTCCTTTTTCCGGTCTTCGTGTGTGGTCAGGACCCCGCTCTGGCCTCGCTTCGTTGACGTTGTCCATGCCGAAAGGCTTGGCTCGTTCCAGAATCCCGCTGTCACGGGATCCGGCTCCAACATGCCGGGGCGGCTGCGTTTTTTTGTCGTCCTGAGCCGTATGTACGTGCCTCCCATTGTCGCTGCTCCCCTCCCTTTTCCAGCCGTGATATATATGTTTTTTTATCGTTCCCGTTCGCGGTTTTTCTCGTCTTCGTCCATTCCGCGTTTCCCGTATCTTGCCGCTTATGTTACTCCCCGAGCGTTTTTTTCTCGTTCTCTTTCCTGTTTGGCTCTCGTTTTCGACACGATTTATTTTGTTATTTTACTTCGCTGCAAGGTGGACGTCAAGAAGCTGGCCGCGGTCATGTCCATGTACGCCCTTGGCTTCGACACCGCCATTTGCTGCATCATCGGGGGGTGAGTTTTTCCTTCCGTGGAGAACACACGTGTCTACATTTTTATTTTTAATGACTGACACCGAACGATATGCAGGCAGGTGCGGTCCACCTCCTAGTTGCGAATCAAAAGGTTGGGCGCGCGTGAAGTGTTGCGGGTCTTCGTAGAGGGCCCAAGGCGTCTGTTGTGCGTGCTGAGACGTGAGGCGTTTGTCTCCAAATCGCTGGTGGCGTCGAGGTCACACCGCCCTCGGGGAGGGAGGCATGTTTCTCGCACGATACAGGTGGTGAAAATTATTTCGAGACAAGCCGTCGTGGGGTGTGTGTGTGTTCGGAGACTTGTCGACGTGGGTTTTTTTACATCCTTTCGAAGTACAACTATATTTTTCTCATTTCATTTCAGGGTGTATATCGATGGATAGGAAAAAGGCGCGTGGGTGCTTCCTTTGCGAGAAGCGGCTGTCCCGAGAAACTGCGTGTGAAACCACTGATAGTCCAGACTTGCGATGTAAGGCGCGGTTCCGTGCTCCATGCGGCTGAATCCATATAATGAAAGGAGGTCCGACCTCGTGAATCATTCGGCGACGGGGAAGAAACGCTGGAGGATTAAAAAAAAACAAGCAGGAAGGAGAAAGGCCGCTTGAATTGGGGCCTGTTTGCTGCACAGAAAGCAGAGAGACAGAGAGTGCCTAGATGTTCTCTCTCTTTTGTGTTGTTGTGCACCAAACACGAGAGAGACGCATTTTTCGTTTCGAACACACCGCCTAACCGTTGGTTTGTGGTTTTCGTGGGTCCCTCTTTCCGGTATCTGCAGGACCTTCCAAACAAAAAACGATCGGATCGCGTCCAACGTTTTTCTTTCCCCCCCAATCCCCCACTTGGATTCTTTTTGTGTGCTCGCTTTTTCTGCGCTCGCCCGTCCACCCCAAACCGCCTTCGCTTGTTACGTTCTGTGTGTCTCTCTGTTACAGGTACTCCTTGGTACTTCACGTGATCCTCTCCCCCACCGACATCGGCAACTTGACGTACTACGTCCCCGTCATGGACGCCGGAGACGACCTCGTAGCATGACCCCCCCACCTCCACGGAGCCCCCAAGAAGAATGAGACAAGCGCTTGGTGGATGTCTCACGCCGCAGTAGGGCAGACAGGCACCCAATCACGGCGGTCGGTGCCGTGTGTGTGTGCGCGCAAACAGCGGTGAATTTAGTCAGACTTTTTTACGAAGAGGAGGCGCAGTGGCCGACGGGAGGAGTGATCTCCTCCACTGACGTGTCCTGCAGAGACCACTCCAGATAGGCTAGCGAACGCGTGTGCCTTATGATTAGTTTTTTTTTTTTGCCCCGAGAGGCGGCAAGGGGTTTTGCTGAAGGCACGAATCTGGGCGCTCCTCGCCCGGTGGTACCTTGCCATGTGTACGTGCCGCAGGAAAATAGGTTTCGATGAGGTGTCGTTGCCTGTGTGCGGAGGGCTTGCACATTAGACCCTGTTGTTTGCCGTTTGGAACTCCCCCTCCTCCTACCGCTTCTTGTGGCTGTGAGGAGGAGATGACGACGTCGGACTTCGGTCGGCTTGTTTCTGTTTGTGTATGTCGTTCTATTGTTCTGTTGTCAAGTCAGTCTGCAGTGCCACCGGCAGCAGTGGTTGCCTACACCGGGTTTTCACACGGGCCGGAACGGGGGCAACATGGGGTACGTTCAGCGAGAGAGGGGAGGGAACACCCGGAGGGGTCTGTCAAACCGTCCCCACCATATATTTTCTTTCGCTGCCACAACCATGTAGTCTAGAGCTGGTGTTGAGGTAGGCGGACGTCGTGGTGACCTCTTTCTTGGCCACAGGTGAGGGTAGGCCGACAAGACCGAGACAAGCCTTGTTCGTGTTGAACGCCCCGCACACCCATGTGTTCGGTACCTGAACCACTACGTCCTTAAAGACACACGATAGACCGGTCGAATCATCACGAGAAACTAGGGGACAATCTCGGAGCCGCCAACGTTTCCAACGCTGCTACGTGGGTTGATTGCCCCATCCCTGTGCCGGCACCACCAGGCAGTGTGTCGGCGCGCACTCACACAAAGGGCTATTTGCTGTCACCGCAGAATGTGGTCCACGTAGGCAACCAGCCATGCAATGATCCCTATTGGGGCTATCGATACCACCCCCCCCTCCTTCGGTAGGGAATATTGGGCTTGACCGCTTGTTCCGCGTGGGTCCGAGTGCTATTCATTCGCTCTAGCGATACCCCTCTCCCACCTCCGCGTGTACTTCGAAGTATCTGCTAACGCCACTGGGATCAAAGTGCGGGGAAGAGCGCCTTTATCGCTGCCCCTATGGAGAAAGTCTTGTAGGGTGGTCGCCAGGTTATTGGTCACCCCGGACAACGCCTACACGTTGGACCTCCCTCCTATATATTGATACTAAGACCACAACCTTCCTCGCTGCTCGCAAAAAAAAACGAACTGCTGCGTGTAGTAATTCGGCAAGGTGGTGTTGACGGTAGCAGTCCAAACCATAACCGATATTACTCTCCCCCCCCCTCGCCGCAGTCCAACAACCAACCGCTGGTCGCAAGTGTTACGGCACAACTTCTTCATGGTTTCTTCTGCCGCAGTGTCTCAGTGGCCTCGGCGAGAAGCGCCGCCATAGTTTCCGGGTCGACGTCTCTCCTAGCCTTGGCTACCTCAAAATCGCTGCGGTGGTACACAGTAACGTAAGCAAACCAAGACCCCGCCGTTAGAAGCCCGACAAGGACGAGTCAACATCGAGTAACAAGGCGGGCGAAGCTTGGTTGTTTGTCGGAACGGATGAAGGCACACAGATGCTTCACAGGCGTACTGCTGAAGCATGGGACACGAACCAGCTAAGGCGTAGACTAGTGCGAAAGGTTTTCCGGAAACACACAGGCACATCCACGGAATGGGTCCCAGATCATGTCCTTCACAAATATTTTCTGTTTACATACCGCATTGGTCGAAGCTAACAACACAGACACACACGCATGGAAATGCGGCATGACAAGATCCATCGCGAAGGCGGTGGTCAGCAAAAGAAAGACAATTTCAAAAATAGGTGACGCCCGTTCGGTTCTCCCTGTGTCACAGTCCTGCCACGCCCCCCTCGTGAAACGGTACCCTTTTCTCTCATACCTGGTGTACGCTTCCGTGACATCGACTACCTCGGTGGGGCTGAAGGCAAGGATGTACGTCTGATTTTTTCCCCAGGACTCGTAAAGCCGGGGCTCGTCGACAGCAGCCTGGGGTGTGTCACGTTGCAAGCCGTAGTGAATCGCGTGAACCATTCGGAACGGTGTGGCGCTCGACCAGCCCGCACGGCGCACATAAAAACGAGGTCACAGGAAAACAAGATGACGCCAGCAACAACAAACAGCAGCAGCAACTAGTGAGCCACGTCCACCAAGACAAACACCACAGCAGAAGCAGCACTTACCTGTGGGTGTCACGGTGTGCACGTCCGTGCCTTCGTCCCATCTATTCCGGCTCTAGTCTACACCTTTCGACAAGTATATTGACGCACCAGCCGGGGTCGCGCAGGGGGAAGGAAAAAACACACACAAGAAAAAAACACTATTTTTTAAGTCCATTTGTTACGATGTCTTTTTTTAGGCTGTCTATTTTTCAAAAAATGACAACTGGCCCAATCGCCCCGTGTTACAACGTCTATTTTTGCTAAAATATGACAACGAAAAAATGACGAACCTTATTTGACAGCCTATAACACGGGGTTATTTAGCCACTTGTCATTTATATTTGAAAAGACAGCCTAAAAACAGACATCGTAACAAATGCCCTTACAAAAATAGTGCGGTACTGGCCTTCACTGAACGCGGGATGGTCTCAACAGGTCGCCCTCCTCTGAATTACGAGTGGCTCTCTCCGGAGAGATTCAAACCCACAATCTAGAGACCAAAAAAGGCGTTACGAGGATACCAACTGGACCACCCAGCCGTTGCTGTTGCGTGACCGAGGTCCGGTCGACAAAGAATGGGCTACAGCAGCTGCGTCGAGCGACGGTAACGCACGTACGCCTAGCTGTCTGCATACCAGGTGCATCACGGCGTTCTCCCTCGAGCGTTTCAGGGCCTAACTGGGCACGAAGATGCAGATGACGACCGACTCAATTTCCTGTGCCCCCCGGCAATGAGCCCGAAAAAAAATACAAATAAGCTGAAGCCGATTAACGTCGACAAGCCACGACCGCGCTCACGACACAACCACACTACACTCAACCTGTCGCTAACCTCCGATGCCCGCGCACCCTCACCTCCTTTTGATCCCGATCACACAAAAGCGATTGCCCAATCACAGAGCGACGCAAGCAACTCTGGAGCCACCCCCCACCCCCCACCCCCTCCTAGACCACGCGCGACCACGTACACCCCCCGGTTACCGTCCATCTATTTCCTGCGGCTCTTTTGGCTCATCAACGGACCTCGCACGGATCGACGTGAACCCACCGCCGGTCCACCCTCGCCTCCACCCACACGTGGTCGGCCCAATCCACCACCCAGCGGCACGTGTACCCCAGCGCCTCGAGCAGGCGCAGCATGAGCACGCTGTACTCCCCGCAGCGCCCCCTATGGGTGTCCAACACCTTGGACACGGCGGTGTACCTGCCGTGACACGATCGCACACAACAGCATGAACAACAAGAACCACAACAAAGAGAGGAAAATAACTTCAAACGCTCCACAACGCTAGTCGAAAACGATGCATAAGTACAATAAGTACTACCATGCCCAACGAACAACCAGCACGCAATCAGCTTGTACCGCCTTAGGCTACTGACGACGGGTCGCAAGGGCGGGNGGGGGGGGGGGGGGGGGGGGGGGGGGGGGGGGGGGGGGGGGGGCAGCTTGGAAGGGGTAACCACGATGGGAATGTGGCAAGACCGGATCATGTCGACTCGTGCAACCCTTACAACCGAGTCTTGGATCCCGACACGCGGTGTACACGGCATGGGTATGCCAGTACTGGGGAACTTTCACGCGAGCCATGCACTCTGTCCATCTCATGAACCCCGCCCTCCTAAATAAAAAAAGGAAACCGATAGAAAATATACACGTGCCTCTGAGCGAAAACCTTGACCTGTTTCTTCCCACGCCCCGGTCCGTGAAGTGCTGCTACACATATGAGGCACGGAAACCAAGATCGAAAAAGAGGCCATCTCACGTACCGCGGGAAACGGCTAACGTGGCCGCACGAAGAGCAGAGGTACACCTCCGTGAGGCCGGCACGAAACTCTCGCTCCTCCGCCGTCGGGTAGACGTAGCCCACGAAGGTGTTGTTGTCGCCGTTTCCACACGTGTGGCATCCGCTATAGTAGTACGGGAATTCCTGTTGAAAAAAAAAAGAAGACGGTTGGCGTCTATCAAGTTAAGTCATGGGAGAATCGACCGCTTCGAGTTTGAGGTCGATACCCTGTTTGATGTGTCGACCAGAGGAACGGGGAGATTGCTTTCCGAGGCGTGCACAGTCGGCGGTGGGTCCTCAATAATATTGTGATCAAACCCTTACTCCTGCTGGCAATCTCATTGACGGCGAGCCCAAGTGACGGACAGCCGGATCTTTCAGTAAAAGATACAAGAACCGCACATTTCGAACAAGAGCATGTAAAAGTAAGGCAAACCTGTTTTTTTATTGAGATGTCTTTTATCTCAGAGTGCCCACCTCGAAATCCGTAAATTTCGCGCACAAACAACTCTGTAACTTGCCACCAATCAGAAAAAAGTCAAGCGGGCGGGCGAGGGACACGATCCCTCTCCCCTACCTGTCTGAACCATTCGAGGATGGCCTTTATCGACGAGAGGGTCTTCTCCAACGGCCGGCCAGAGTCAAAGGCACTGAGGGTCCGAGCTTCCGCGCCGCAACCTTTTTCCACGGTGTCTAGCAATCGCTCAGGAGGAATTGTCTCCCAGTGGTCGAACCTGGTTCTGTTGGTGTAAGCCGACAGCCGCTCGGAGAAATTTCGCTGCATGGGGACAGCAAGGGGGAAGGGCGTGTGTAGGGCGGGGGCGGGAGGGTGATGCAGGTACGGAGCCACGCAGCCGTATCAAAAGTCATGAGCACGCATGGCGAACGGGGACCTTGTTGTCTCTGTTGTTGTTATCGTTGTTGTTCGAGGCCGTGCGGGTTTGGCCTTAGGTGTTGCTTTGCCCCTGCTTTAGGTACTGTCATTGTCGTCTTCACCATGGGAACTGCTGCATCTACACATCCGTGCCCTGTGTATATATGCTGTGCTCCTACCAAGACAAACGCGAACTCTTCACGAAGGTACTCTACATCGGCGAGCGCCCTCAAAGCCCGGCACGCTTGACGTTTTTCGGTGGATTCGAAACACGCATCGGTTCTACGAGGAACTCATACCCTCACGTGCCGGTACGCTTTCTTCCCTCGATAACGTGGAAAACAATTTGACCAGGGGCAAATACACGATCACCATCGCCGGAACGACCCCCCGCACCGGGAATCGAGGTTGATAGCGTCCCCTACGTTTCCAACGGGCCCTCCCGTCCGCTGGAACCATGACGCACCTCCCGCCCTCGCAAAACGTCCGCTGGATCGCTCTCCTGAGACAAGAGTCTGCCTTCCTTCCACAGCGTCTCCAAGCCCTGCTTGACTCCTTCGTCTGCGAGGTCCACGGTGTTCGCGACGACTTGCCGCTTTGCCACCCCTTCCGCCGCAGAATACGATTCCGCCCCCCTGTGTCCAAGCTCATCACTGAGCCCCCTCGCGACTGCTGATTCGAGGAATACGGTGAACTTGGAAAAGTCGTCCCCGAGGCACGCGAATAGCGTCTCATCTCCACCTACCGCCTCCATGCGGCACTCCAAGACCCGCGCCTGCCTAGGCCGGAGCTCACCGGCTTCTTCTCGTTCGTCGGCGGCAGCAGGCACGGCGCCGTTCTCGCCATCGTCTTCCGCTTTGCCAGCACTGTCGTCTATGCCGCTCGCGTCGTCCGCCGATGCCGATGAGCCGACGCTGTTGCCTCCCGGTAGTTGCTCCGCCGCTGCCTCGGTTGGGGTTGCGCAAGCAGCAGCAGCAGCAGAAGCAGCAGCGGCAGGAGTCGTTGAAGGAGCTCCTACTTCAGCGTTGTCGTAGGCGCCCAGACGTGGTGGTCGCCCGGTGCCGCCTCCACCTCGTGTGAAGACCCAGAAGGGCTGTTGTTGTTTCGAGACGTTGGTATGACGACACCGTACCGGAACGGGTGCCTATTGGGGGGCGCGGGGGAGGGGGATTGCAGTCTAGGTGTGGTGAGTGGGTGGCGGCCGAGTAAGAACGAAAATCTTGCGGAAATGCGCGTATCATAGACGGTACAGCAGTATTGTAGCGCTACAATAGCTGTTTGGTGTCCGTGCCCGATGTCGTTCAACCACAGCAGTCCTGTGGGATCACCGGTCGGTGTCCATGCCGACTTTACGTACCCCAGCCACGCTATTGCCGTGTATCAAGCTCGGACACCAACTCTCACCCCATGCAAAGCGCATAACATCTCGAATCAAGGGTAGCTTACTGGGTCCCATGCGTCTCAAGAACATGCATGTGCATGCGACTCGACGTGTAGACTTATATATAAAGCAGCACACCAGCCAAGAACTTGACAAAAATGTGAACCGGAACCTGTAGAGTATGCATGACATGTTTTTCCTGCATCACGCCATCAATCCCACCGCACGAAAACGAAGGTGATACCTGTGAATACGGGCACCGAACAGTACCTGTGTTTCAAGCCGGGTCCCAGAGCTGGTGATCCTGTCGTTGTCGTTGCGGCTGCGCATGCTTTGTGTCGTTCGAACGGGAAACGCTCCGCATAAGGATTTTCTTATCGGAACACAGCAGCAGCTTGCGTAGAAGCAGAGGAACAGCACACGAGGACGTTGTCGTAACAACATCGTTTGACTGGGAGAGAGTCGCGCTCTCTCTCGCCACAAAGAAACTCACACGGGAGATGTGTGCCCTTGCGAATCTACAGTACACAGCTAACCAGAGCTTCTCCTCACTGCTCAGCCTGCCGTGCTTGCTTGCCAGATAAAGCTAGCAGCTACAAGCAAGGTCTCCCCCAAAAATTCGATGTCGCGGAACCCCCGGCGCAAGGGGGCGACGTAGAATCGATCTTGCGGCCCGGCCCACATGTTGATGTGATGGCTGTTGCCGCTGGTGGGGCTCGTGTGCGTAACGAGGTACAGCAGCACAAATAGCGGCTCTAGGCTCTGGACTGGGGTGTGGGTATGACCAACGGCTGAGGAAAACCGATCCGTAACAAAGTGGGGCGAGAGATCATTGTAGGGCCATTGCAATATTGCTATCAAACAACTGCGGCGGCTGCAGTCATACCAACCATCTCCCCGGCTGGACAGAAGGTTGTTGACGTTGAACATCTGCATTTGCACGGCGGGCGATGGTGGCTGTCATGTTCGCCCAGCTCGGGGCGGCGCCTCTAATCATGTCGCTGCTGTATGGGGTAAGTTTACCCTCCTAAACGTCGGGTACCTGTATTGTGAGAGCATCCGCAGCAGTATCTGAGACAAGGAGGACCCGGAGTTGACTTTAGTTTTGGAAGCGGATGGTGATCGACTTGTGTTGTACAGGGAACACCAGGACCGTCCCTTGTGTAAATTAGCAGTAGACTTACGCCCGTAGTTTTAAGACATGCGGATGTATGTGATGGGCGTTCTTGTTCAGTCGCAAAGCACCCCCAAGTCGTGTTCCAGCTCTTTTGCGCATCCGTGCGGATGTTTTCCTTGCCATGCGGTCGCTTTCCTATGTTCGTCGGTAGAAAAAAGGAAGGCATTCTCGTTCGCGATTTTGTCCGATTGGTCACCAGGAGTACTTCGTTGACCCAGTAGAGAACTACAGGCTATGTTTTGTACTAGCCTAGCTGGTCTCACTGATACAAATCATCAGTGTATAGGCTTCACAAGACTATAGTAGCAAAAAGTCCAGTACCCAGCCGGTTTTCTTCCACTCACTGGAAAGACTATAACACAGCCCGTTCAACTGCTGTGGGTATACCGTCAAGTGACACGAGATAACACACACGGACCGATTTTGAAACCTCCATTTCTCACAAACAGGAAAGAGTCCCGGCACCGAAAACGGTGGTGTTGAAGCTGTCCCGTCGTGAGCTTTCCGAAAATGTATTGTTTTATTTATTCATCCTCTTGGCCATGGCGTAGTCGACCTTTGAAAATTGGTCCAGGGTGTAATATCTTGTGTCATAGACGGTATCTCGAATGGGTACAGGTAGAAAAAATTCTGTGATTAATTTTGCCTCACCGCTTTTTATCGCAGCACAATGTTTGCGAAAAAAGCTGTATTTCTGCAACTTTTCTTGCAGCTTTGCCAATGTCCGCTCAGTATGGGGGCTGAAAGTTGCACGAAAAGTCCTGCAACTTGTTTTCTGGAGCGAAAAACTGCATTCTGGCCGAAAAGTTTTGCAGCTTCTCTCGACTCGGGAAGGGGCGAGAAAAGCTGCACGGCGGAACGTAGACCCTCTCCAGCATCGATTGTGGGAAGGCCGTGATTACCGATATCTCGACAAATACTCAACGAGTTGCCTCATGAAAGGTATCTGGAAGGAGGTGATACCATGGGCTGTTGGGCAATGTCAAGATTTGGGGCCGTGAGGTGCTGAATGCGCCGGGAAAAAAAGGCTGTGCTGTGCGCAACCGTCAACGGCCGCGAGCGGTTAGTTCAAGTTCGGTGTTTTTGACCGCCACGGGTTCGGTTATCCACCGATAACTTTCCGAAGGAGGAAGAAACAGCAATAGCAAGGACGCTCGGCGGGAGGTAGCTCTCTACTCCATCTGTCATGCCCAAGGTTTGGTGCCGTAGGGTATCGTGCGCATCGGGAAAAAAGTTGTGATCGACCTTAAAGTACCCACGTCAGAGAGCGGTTGAATCAAGTTCGCAGGGATTGTGTGCGCATGGTTTGGTTTTTCAGCGAACACTTTTGGAAGGAGAAGGCAATAGCAACAGCAACGCCACTCCGAGGGAGCTAGCTCTATCCAGCATCTTTCTGGTACTGGGTTCGATGCTTTGGGGTATCGTGAGTATGGAGAAAAAAGGTCGCAACAACGCTCTCCACGCTCTTACCGGTTCTTTCGCGGTGCAATATGAAAGGCGCGTGCCTGCGTGCCTTCGCCGTTCTTTGTGGGAAAAAAAAACATCTCGCCTCCGCATTCCGCTAGTCCCGTGTACAAACTTTCTTCGTTCCATGCAGAGCGTGCATCAAAAGTTCCATTGGCAAAGTTTGGAAGAAACGTTGCAGGAAAACTTTGCAGCTTCTCTTGCAACATAATGGAACCACAAAAAACGGTGGAAGCATTTGCCGTGCATTGTCCCCCGAGAACGAGAACACGTTGATTCCGTGGCGCTCAGCGTCATGCAGTCTGGGACGGGTTGCCTACGCCAAGCCAGCAAGTAAGATTTTGCAGGCAGGTACGCAGACCCTATCCCGAACCCAGCCCCCCAAATACACGATTCTATACTTTGCCATGTATGTTTGCTTATCCTGCGCAGGCTACTGTCGGGGACAGCGTTGCTGGTGACACCTGCAGCATATGATATCTAGTACTGGCAGGCCGCCAGTTCCAACTTTTTGATGTTACGCTTGAGAGACAGAACCTACACGGACATGCTGCAGTGTGTAGGTGTATCTTGTGGCATACTCGTCGAATGGTCAAGGCTTTGTTACGCACATTCTGGTGGCGCGGGAGAGGAAGGGACCATAGTAGTGTCGAAGACATATGGGTCGTTTCAAACGAGAGCTCATTCTCGGACTTTCGAAAGTCTTGCCAATTCCGAAGAGCCCACAAACAGGTGTGGAGATCGAGATTAATTCTGCGGGGGGCTGCAACTACGTCGTAATCGGTGTGGGCGTTGTCGGCATAGCGTTTATATAGCTAGCCGATCTCAGAGTCCAAACAAATCCGAGCACCCTGCTATTATGTTGTATACACGCACAATTACGACGAGTTCGTAAACCGGTGAGACTGTCATAAGCACGGAATCGAGACAGCGAGGGTCTAGAGGCGTGTGGGTGGTGTGCTATGCCGCAGCAGAAGAGACTTTGTTGTTGATCTATCTCAAAGTGCATTTATTGGAGTTGACCAAAACGACAGAAATTCAGTAGTCTTGAGGCCCCTGCGGTTGCGGCGGTGTGACCTCACGCGCGGACATCTGGCACTACCTACGTAGCTGATGCGGTAGCGGTCACGCTGTTCTGTACGTACAAAAGGGTATGATGAGATATACCTAATAACATGTCAGAGGTTTGGTGCTCCACCCGGCGCTCTGGGCTTCGAATTTACGTTATTCGCGTGGCTGCGCCTGCTTTGCAGCTCGTTTTCCGTCAGAGCAGATGCAACAATGCATGTTCTCATGCTCACGGGCGTGGTCTCTCCCTTTCCTTATCGTGCACGTCATTTTTGAGTTGTGTGCGAGCGTCGCCGTGAGGCTGTATTAGGTGAGAGGAAAATTGTCGGGGGTGGCCATGAAGTTGAATTCCCGCTCGTACAGGTACCTCGGATACACGGAGCGTCCATTGTTTCACAATCTTGCCCTCCTCATCCACACATGACGCAGGCAACTTTCCTGCACGCGCTGAGCAAGCTGAGGATGCTGCACGGGAAGTCCCGCTCCCTCGACACCAAGAAGCTGTTTGCCATGAGCGTGCTGCTGCTGTGCCTCACGCGCACCATGGGCTTCATGACGATCGGCGCCCTCAACATGCGGAGCGTTGGCGGTGGCGGAACGTCGTCCAGACGCTCTTGGCAGAACGACGCTGATGAGCGCTTCTATGAGAAAACCATGCTGGTGCGTACCGCACCATACCTCAGGCTTGTCGAGTCCCCTGAATGCTTCGCGTGTACAAGTCTTCGCACTGCTTGACTTGAGCTGGGATGAAAATGATCTATGTGGTGCTATCACCAGCTTTGCTTTGTTGCAATACGTAGCTTGTGTTCTTGTGCCACTGCAATTCTTGCTGCTGCAAGGGCAACCAGGTGTTTTTTTTTTTTTGCGGCACTTCTTGGGGAACGGAGACGTGACGGCATAAGACACCATGATCCACGACCCCCCCGCCCCCCTTTGCAGCAGGTTCTCTGCGTGTGGTGTACGTATGGACAATCGTAACCCCGTCCGAGTGTTGTTTGCTTGTCTCGCGTCAATTTTATCGCGGAATTGCTCTCGAGCACCCCGCACCCAACTGGGGCGGCCCACCGAGAATCGCCGCAAGAGGGGTGTGGCGGGGAAGGCCGTTGAAAAGTTCTCGCCACACTTGCTGTGATGTGTTGAGGCGCTCACCTTCCGCTCTGGTTCCACATAGAAACGTTGCTTGCCTCTGCCCGTGTGGGGTTGCATCGTGTTTGCGACCTCGTCGCTTCTGCTCACCGGCCGTCGATTGTAGGTCCTGTTCGATCTTCCGGACTTCATGATCGTGAGCGCCTACAGCCTCCTGGCTGTCGTCTGGGCGGAGGCCTTCCTGCAGGTACATGAAAGATTTTGGGGGTTTGCGTCGGCGTTGCATTGTTGCGGTTGCGGTTTTGGGCGGTTGCGGTGCTGGTCGCAAAGGCCCTGTGCGCGGAGTGCCTCCTTTGAGTTTTTTTTTTGTCGGGTTTTGGGGAAGCCACTCGCCCACGCTTGGCGCTGCTATGTACTACGATAGAAAGCGCAGGTAGTCGATTGGCGTATTCCTTGGAGGTCCGGCAAATGTTGCTACAACAGTCCGCACATGAACCTCAAAATACGTACAACGATGACCGATGCACCACGGTTTTTTCTCCACCTCGTGCTCTCGACGCGTCCGCCAGAGTCGCACAGTTCACACGCTACAGAATCACACACACATGCACACACACACTGATGTGTTTTCATCTCGCAGCCGGATTGCGCGCCAATTTTGGCTCTCTCAATGCACGGGAGATTCCGCAAGAGGGACATTCCGCCAAGCAGTGTTGTTGTTGTCTTCCTATCTCCCCCGAGGCCCTCCTCTCCGGGGAGCCCGCGAACTATGGGTAGGTGTTCATTTTTTGTTGTCCTGCGATACGATCGACGTCTATGATTGGCGAACCGGTTAGCGCGGTCGACGCCGTACCACCGAACACACACACATACACATGCCGATTGCCCCGTCACGGGGATCCAAATCATTACTTGTAGAAGCTCCTTCTGTTGTCAGCGGCAGTGAGACTGACGTCTTTTCATTGGTCAGCAGGGTAGTGCGGTCGATGCTAACAATATGGACACACTCACACACCCATGCTACCGTTACCGTTCCTTGTCGGGTTGTTGCGACGCGGACGCGGATGCCGGGGGTTCCTCGACCGGCCCGCTTCGTGCGGCGAGCAGTCTCGTCGCCACTGGCTTTCGGCGCGGGTGTACAAGCGGCAGCTGTTGCTGGGCTACATGATCTTCAACTCGGCGCTGTACGCCGGGCAGCTAATCCTCTACACGCTGCTCTTCCTCCCCAGCTTCAACCAGGTGAACGACGTTTTGCTCCGTGGAGCGTGCTTTCCTCGGCTTTTTTGTTTTGTGCTCTGACTTTCTTGTTCAACTATTGCCATGTACAGGCGGGGCCACCAGCCCGTTCGTGTTTCCTAACGCATTCATACGTGTGAAGTGCAACACGCGAACGCCAGCCCACTGCTGTCGTTATTATGTTGTTATTGTGTCATTTCCCCCCCCCCCTCCCCACTCCCTATTCCCCCCCCCTGCCATCGGGGTTGGGTTTTCGTCGCTTGGCAACGACGTTGTAAAACAAGCCAATTCACTTCGTGAGCTCGGCAACCAGGTTACAGTTTTTTTTTTACCTCCGTTTTTTTTTTTGGCGGTAACCATAATGG